CCACGCTATTTCACATACCTCTGTACAATCAAAAACCATCTGTACGATATCAAAGCTGAAAGACGAGTACGGCTGTCATTCGATTACATGCAATAAAAATGTGATGATCATGATGATTCGAAGTCGCCAATTAACTCGAAAGCAAACTATTAAATGTGGCCGGTCGTTGTCTTCCAAACTACTTTTTAAGCCAGTAGAGCGTTATTTAAAACTGTCTATAAGCCTCAGCTTATGACAGTATCATGGAAAGTGGACGGCGACTATGGAATGGAGTAGCGTGGCGGGAAGAAGTAAGTTGGAGTACATATGTCCTAGACACGCGATCCCATATTGCATTTATTGACACCTAATACGACATTAATGCGGAACAGGTTTGGAGACAGCCTATGTGCGCGTGCCATGAAAAGTTAACAGTGACTACAATGAGGAAATTCACAGCGTGACGAAACAACGGTGGAAAATTTTTGACCTAGCAACAGTGGCGATCTTAAGTTCGTCATAAACGTTTGGTGTTAGACTAACGTGAGAGTGATGCTTTTCACAGTTAATGGGCATCATCTTAGTACGATCTCGATGCCAATGCTTGTTTATATTTTAATACCACCAGTGGCGTGGTGACACAGTGCCTAAGAAGTCGCTTGGAACTCTGGAGCTGCCAGATTCGATTCTGCCGGAGGGCAATCTTAGTCTTAATCAAGAATTCCTTGAAGAAAGGAATTTACTACAGGTTGCTTCAGGTCGGTGTTACTCAGTCAATAGAACCCAAGATTCAGAACCTAGAGGTTCCGAGTTCGAGTATCGATCTGGGTCACTCGCCCTCCTTCCTTCCGAGGTGGATAAACGAGTACCAGTCTGTGAGAAGGAAACAGAAAACTGCATACCATGCTTAGCACATTGCTGTTTTTAAATAAGAGACTCCTGGCCGATGGATTGGAAATGGAGATCAGAGCCTTCACCATTAACTTCATGAAAAGAAAGCCATAATGTCCCGATTACGATTACAAACATTCCTTAATTTCCTAACACATTTTTAAAATTTACGGTTTCCTCGATATGGTGATTTTAAAGAATAACCCCGCAACGGCTCGATGGCACTTGATACGACGCAACTGCATCATGCTTAGAAACGATAAAAAATATGGCGAAGTACTCCATCGCTGTGCGGTGAGCCAGCGGGATATAAATGTATATGAGATGTGTTGCTTTATTCTTTAAAAACAATGGTGTAAACTGACTGATCATCTCATTGAGTACCTGTCAATCCATTGCATCTATTTTGAGGAACATCCACATAAATCAGGACCTAAATGCCAGCTTGCAGCACGACTGAGTAGTTGTACGCTTCTGTTTCTTGTCTTTCCGTCTTTTTCTGCACTCGGTGTCGTTGGATGAGAGCAATGGCGGTAGATGTTACCTTAAACTCGGCAACGTCCGATTCGTTTTTCAATATTCCACATAATTTCGGTTCCTTCCAGCTCAGATAATCATGGTCATGCCGTATTTTTGTTGCAGATCCAATTAAATCAAAATACTAAAAGGCGAACGAAAGTAAAGTGATCTGCGTTTTCGTTGCACGATTAATCATAATGATAATAAAAATTCATTTCCAAACGCACAGTTTCTACTAATGTTCGATGCAAGAAAATCTTCGTCTACGCGTCTGCGGATATGTCACCTTAGTAACCTTACTTAGTTCTGACCATGCTATCAGCAACATGCATTGAATGCGGTAAATAATTTTTGATTTCAACCTCATCGATACGTCAAAGTCAAGCCATTTGTCGAAAGAGAAATCAGTCGATTCTTTCATTGAAAAACGTGCACCTTTTTTCACGCAACAAATGATGTCTACAAGCAAGCAATCAACTGCTATATGCTGTACCTCCGGGACGAGTTGCGCCAAAGATCTGGTTGATCTTCTGAATGTCCGGAATTTCGGACGGCGACGACAGCAACGTGCACCTAAACAATGATAGTTTTATTAAGAAACGCAAAGAAACGCCACTCGCCCGTAATAAAGCGTTAGTTTGCTGAGGTCATAGATTTCGATCACCTAAAATGAGGAGACAAAGATTAGGCAAGTTCACGATACGAAAATACGCAGCAAGAATTCGCAGAACAGCACGCCTACACATCAGCATTTCATCAGCAACGCTAGCATAGGAAAGTCAATATGTTAACCTGAGTAACCATCATACAAAAATGGATCCTTGAACACGGTGCACACGATGCTTCTAAAGAATAAATTTGCCGAACCCCTCACATGCGGAAGTTAGCCGCATGTCTGAGATTTCTAAAAAAACGTCCAGCTCAGATTTGTGAACTATGTTTAAAAAAATGGTTATTTTTCGCGGATTACAGGAATGGCAACCGCGTTATTAAAACAAATCTGTCCAGACCGCCTTTACTCTGATACCTGGTTATTATCACAATCAATCAGCATTAGCATTATATCATTTATTTGGATAAACGTCATAAGGATAGAAATTCACAAGATGGCATTATACTGTCATTGTTCATCTAAGTCCTGGAATACCTGAAGAAGTCTGACAATTCTTCACGAAACAGAAACAACGTTTTCTTCCCAGCTTACGTTCAACAGTTACTAAAAGCCTAAATACCACCAACGTATGCTATCTAAGAATGTTTACTGTGGCGTCACGGATACTTCGGGAACACACTGTGTGACCAGAGCATTTCAGATGAAGCGCTGCAGCTATTCTTTCGTGTCTGTCTGTCAATTAGGGTCCTGCCTGCGCGCACTTACGAAAAACTAACGTATTAACTGACGTTTCAACTCTACTTATTACCGCTGTATACGCGGCCACGTTGTACGAAAGCGAGGGAAAGTGAGTTTTCCGCTGGTCTACAAACTGTGATCGACAAAATTCCGAAACGTGGCCTGATCGTGATGGCGGGTGACTGGAATGAAACGATCGGCTCTCGGGACACAACTAAGCAGGCACGCGGCTATTCTGCAGCGCTGGACAGCGCAGACTGGCTGATGATGAACATTTCCAGCACCGTCGCAAACATCTTTTAACAAACTACTAGAACAGCATTATCATGTGCCGGTAGGTGCAAGATCGATTAGCTGTGGTTTTAAAAGCAAGTAAATACGCGGGTCTGAGACAGCTAACATCTACGACACGGACCATGTTATGGTTCGGGCAAAAAGGAATCCCACGTCAACGAAGCGACGTAAGTACACCCTCAAGAACCATAGAAGAGGTTCAAGCTTTTCAAAAGGACGTACATCATCATCTCTGAATGCCGACAGTTGAATGTAGTGATTCTGTGGACGAAAGGATCGTCGAGGAAACAGGTCTTGCATCATTCAACTACCAACCTACTTGGCCACACGAGGAACCGCAAAAACGACTGCATCACCGCAAGCACAATCAGGCTTACTGACTTAACTGATTGTTCGGCAGTAAGCACAGAGATCCGTGAGAGAAGACTGCAACCCAAAAATTCACATTGAGAAGAAAAAGCGAATGCAATGGGGCCCCCACGGACAACGTAGAGGACACAAGGAAGCCTTGTCAACTTTATTAAATTTTTAATTCGATGCGGTCGTGAAATACGATCACCGAATTCTGCGTAGCACCACTGATGACACCGAATTTCGCGGATCGCACTGTCCGATAGAAAGACCACTTCGAAACCCACCAGCCATCCACCTCTATAATTCTCGCACCATCATGTGACACTGGGGCTAGTTGGCGAGCAATATCCTTCTTTCAGGAAACCTCGCTCAAATGTGAGGATAAAAGCCGGTATCAAGTCGATACGGCGAAATAGAGCTTTCTGTGATGATGACGCGTCAGCACAGCCTTATCAGGAACGTCTGCCAGAAATCGTCGACTACTTGCAGTATCTACTTTGCCATGTCTAGCACAACAAGCGCGTGACATAAGATTGAAGAGGCATGCTATTGCTCCAATTCCTCAAAAAGGCGAAAAAAATCAAGAACTCTTGCTGGACAAGCTTGACTGACGTTGCTGGAAAAATTC